GTTGAAAACAGCCACTGTCTTCATTTCTAGTACTAAACTTGATGGTAATATAACTACAAAACAACAGCAATAAATAATAATAATGCTGGTGCCAGAACTTTTGAAGCTTTCTGTACTGCTAGCTGTATATTCACAGTGTTACTGCTAACTTTTGATGGAAGTTTAAAAATTGAGATAACAGAGGCATTGGAGTACTGTGCATGGAGGCCACTCGAGCCTGGCAGAGCCGGATGGCCTGGGCACGGATCTTAGCCACGGGCAGCCAGGAAGACGTGCCCGCGGGCCCGGCCAGAGACAGCAAAGAGCGAAGTGGGCACGGCGATGGTGTAGAGGGAAGGGAGGCATTTGGAGCGGTAGGGGAAAGACGGGCACCATATGTTCCCATCACCAAAATTCCACTGGCAGAAAGTAAGGAAAGGAAAGACAGTGAGAGAAGGGAATGTGAGAGTCACTGCTTTGGCTTGCCTTAATATGACATGCACTGTTACACAGCAATTAATCCCTTTGGTTAACAGCAAAGCTGAGTAATTTAAAGGCCATAAATATATGACAGAATATTCTCATAGCTGCTCAGTCTAAAAAAGAGTAAATGACCTGTTTACCATAAATGAAAACATCATGTTTCAATTTATCATTGTTATCAAAATTTATAACTAACACTATTTCATGAAAGTTTACAAATACAAGTATTTACAAATGCTGACAATTATTACTTGATACCTCACTGTAAAACTAATATTTAAAAAATGTGTGTTTGACACTCATCCAGACAGTCTCCTGGCCGTTTATCGGTACAGTAATTTAAAGAAACCAGTTTGAAGAAAAAACTGTTTCCACCCTGATGTGGGAGGTGTATGAATAAGGTCATTAATCAGAATGGTTCTTAAATGTAATACACCAGCAAACTTGTACAGATTTTATACAGATTGATAATCAGTTTTCATCATCTAATTCCCTGAGGTATGTGTCATGGGGGGGGGGGGGGAAACTAGATAAAGAAATAAAGACAGTAAATAAATGGCATATATTTAAAAACATTAAAATGTAAATACGTACAAAAAATATCATATTCTCTTCCATATCATTCACAATTCACAGTTCCTCTAATTTAGAGGCTTATAAATGCAGACAGGTAAGTTGTGTTTTAATGTTTGCTCCTAAAAGCAGCAGAGGCTAAAGTAAATGATTGGGGACATGAGATGTTCTGACAGGGAGCACAGGGGACGCTGAGTACGCTTGCTGGGATGGTGAAAATCACAGGGCTACTCGTAGCGGATGCGTGCTTCATGTCATGGTGAACTGGCTTGGGTGTGGTGTAAAGTATATCCAATATATCCTTCAGTACTGTACAAACACTGAATTGCTTTTAATTAATATATCTGTCCCATACTTTATTATTAATAGTCACACTTATAGATCAGAGTCTGTCATCATTCTGTATCTGCAGCATTCAGACCACAAGGCAGATGGAAACGTTTAGGAAAATTGTCCGTCTAATTAAAAATATGTAACAAAAATTTTTTAGAAAAACTAAAAAGTTTTCTTGCGAAACTGATAATATCTACAACTTCTAACTTTTTAAACTAAAGGTAGTCTTCGGTGATCTGTTACCAGAGGTCACCTTAAGGGCCCGTTTCTGTTGTTTGTGATTAGACTTGTCAGAAATTACTGAGAAGTTAAAGTAATTGCCTGAGTTCAAACATCTCCCAATGAAATTAAAAATAAAAAGATAAAATGTAGGTTTCATGTATGGAAACACACACAACTGATTTGTAACAGTAAAATGAATGAGAATGAATTCCAGTGCATTTTGTCTTTAAGGACAGAGTACTTCTGAAATTAATTTATTAGGAATAATAATCTGTATCAATGTTGTACTTTATGATAGCAAAACAGAAATGTAACGGTACCGTTATATAAAAGGTATTATACAGGAATTACATTAGCTGGATTGTAACTATACATAAAGTGTCAGACACATAATGGCACGTAGAAATAAAGATGTAACAAACGAAGATAATATTGTTTTTCAAAATGTTCAGTTTCAATAATTTTCAAAACGTACATTTTAATATATATGTAGAAATGTAGCTGGGTGTAGACAATAATTGGCTTTTAGTTTATTTAAAATCCTTGAAGTTGATTGGTAACTTTGTTCTAATTTTAAACACATTCAAGGCAGTAAAACAAAAAAATCCCTCTTTTTTGTTTCACTAAAGGTATGTTGTAAATGATGAATTAGTTATTAATAAATTTACAAATGAAGTGAGTCCTGATCATTTATTTAATACAGACCATTCATAAACCTATGAGGTTGTTTTCAAGCAGAAATTAAGGATCTGCCTTCTCTCATGCCCGACACACAAAAGAAAAATCTTATTAAGCAATTTATTAAGCAGAGATCTTTTGTTGTATATAATTACTCAGGCGGGTCAGGAATTGAGAGACAAATGTAATTAAAAAGCTCCGCAGTACTTACGTCACATTCAACACTACACCACACGCCTGAAGCAGCAGCACAGCGAGGAAATAATGCATTAAAATAAACCACTAATCCTGTGTCCAGTTAGCTATATACATCTTTCATGTCACTCAGGAAAAACACACACTCACGGCCACTTCGGGCTAATCCACAACAATGCTGTAGGCTATCTGAGGGGCCCGTTAATTTTGCATAAAGGAGCCGTCCGACTGAGGTGGCTGTCATTTCCAAATCCACACAGAGTCACAACCGAAAAGCACGGGTTCACGAAGTTCAACGGCCATCTGGTAGCCACGGTGACCCCTCCATGTAAATCGGACATTCTTGCCCTGCCTGTCTTCAGCGCACGGCCCTCAGGAGCAATGGGGATGGATTCCTAAGTGTCTCCGTCCCTGGTACCCATCAGAATCCCTGTAAAACCTGCATATGACTTGATTTTGATTCCAATATCTCCACTTTCCCTAAACCACCTCCCTCTGCACTTCTCTCCCATCGGTCAGAAAAAATGAATCCTTTTGGCGTTTTCCTCAGGACCCATCGACATCGGGCGCAGAAAGGAACAGCAGCAGTCCCCCCTCTGCTTTTCCCCTCTCCCCTTCACCGGTCCCCTAAACCACCGCATGGAATGCGTCTGAAGTAACAGCAGTGTCCTGACTGTGGAGGGGGCTGCATGGGGGGGGGACGGGGGGCTAGAGTGCCATTCTAAAGTTCACAGTCCCCTTACAGAGGAATAATGAAGCCATTGTCTTCTGGCTCAAACATCTCCTTTTATTCAAGCTGGCACAGAATCTGCTGGCAAAAGAAGAATAATATTTGCCACCCATCTCTCTAACCCCACCAAGAAATAATAATTGTTGTTATCATAACAGCAGCCACAGCAGCAATAATACCAGTAATAGTTATAATAATGCTCCATTAACGAGTCAGCAACTAATGAACACAGGGACACTGAAGTTTCAAAGTCCTTTCATCCCACCCGACTGGACTCATTTGTATTTGCTGGCCACAAAAGGCTATTGTGAGCCCCCTTTTCCCTCCTCACCCCTCCGTTAAATCCACAAGCTTCTCCCCGCTACTCTCCCCACTCTCCTCGTCGCCCCCATTTCGCCAAAGCGACGGGGATGTCAAAGGTTGTCTGGCCTCGATGACCGCAACAAGCAAGTTAATCTTCCCCGACGTCCCAGAGAATGCTTGCGTTTTTTTGCCCACGACCCCCCCAAATGCCCTGTTGCCCCCCCTCCGTGTTTTAATTGCAGCCATGGTGTGGTACATCCCGGCGACGGAGTGTGAGGCTCCGTGAGCTAGTTTTGGCCGAGAGCGTCCAGAGCGTGGAACAGGCTCATTGTAAACTAATGATGGCACTCCCGCTTGGACCGGACCTTACGCATTAAGAAATAACTTCTTTGGAAAGACGTTGCGACGAAAGTTTGCCTCAACTACCACAATCCGACAGCCTTGCTTTCCACTTTGCTTCATAGGTCAAGTTGTGAACGGTTAAAGAAATTTGACATCCACACTGTCGCATCTGGATGACTGAAAGAATTTTTCCCACGCTATCAATTTGTTTCTCCTGATAAAGTCGCACTAAAGTAAAAAAAAAAAAAAAAAAAAAAACAAGCAAGAACCTATAAAAATATGGACAAGCAGACCACAAAGTGCATTTTTTTCTGGAAGTCTGAACTAAATGGACAAGAAAAAAAACACAAAAATGGACAAGTGTAACAAGACGGAACACTGATGGAGAAATCAACATGAGAGCGAAAAACAGCAAAACCAATTTAGCGGTTAATTATCTTGTGAAAGTGAAGTTGGAGAATGGAGCTGGAAAAAAAACAGAGAGGTTTTTGTGTCCTTTTCTGTGTACAAAAGAAGAGGGAGGGAAGGTTCTTTTGTAAAAAACTGGGAAAAGAAGGAGGAAGGCAAAAAAAAAACAGCATTGGTTGCTGCCAACTTACCATCCACCACGTCCTGGCCGAGATGTCGTAGCAGAGCTGCCATTTGATGGAGCCTTCCGAGGTTTTGACCGCCATTACTCTGTCAGCAAGCTTCATCTGATGCTAGCGCACTCACCGGAGATAAGACAACTAATTGAGAAAACATTTGCACTGGCATGTTGGGCAACATGTAGCCCGCTCCATACCATATGGAATCATGGGTAAAAAAAAAAAAAGGCTCCTTGACAATGAACCAATCTCACGCAGACCCCGTGGCAAGGTGAGTGGCAGTCATCTGCTCAGAGAGCGAGCTGTCTTTAAAAAAAAAACACACAGAATGATGAGCCCTGTTTCTTCCACATCACCGAGCACCCGAGGTCATTTTTTTCTCTCTCTCTTTAATTATGGCTTGTTCTTCATTACCATCATCATCACTACCACCCAGTTGACTTGGGCATGTATGAGTTCTCCCTCCTTTCTTTCTGTATTTTTTTTTGGGAGGGGGGGGAGCGGAGAGATTTAATAGGACAGAGTCAGGTAGGGGAGTAGGGGCAGCAGGCTAAAGCGCCATGGGCTAATAGCCTGAAATTTCTGTTGGACAGATGGAACTGCTTAAAGACTATCATGCAATGTTTTGTTTTGTATTCCTTACTCTGCAGCCCTGCTTCTCCCAGCCACTGTCTACTGTACCCAATACACTTTGACACAGAATAAAGTCAAATGCCTATATTATGTGAACACTGAGGGCTGGTTACTTTTGAAATCTTTTCTTCCCTGCAGCATTTTTTTAAATAATTGTTTTTTTTATGGATACCTTTGACTTGTGACGGGACTGAGACTTTCCTGCAGATGGTCTGAGGGTTATTTTGCCTCCCTTCGCCTTTGTCCTCTGTACGGTGGATAAGTAAGTGACCAAATTGCTCTGCTCCTCAATAATGTCCTTCAGGAAAGTGCGGCAGAATCCTGAGATTAAATGTGTCAGATTACAGCTAAATCCCTCAGTATCTGCACATATGATAACGATTTTCTATGCTTTCAGATTTACAGTAAAGGCTTTAAATATCAATTGTCAAATAAAAAGCGGATTAATATGATCTTGCAATTATTGTAGCAAATAAATTAAGAATATGTCAGTTAAGCTTGAGTTTTGGCTACAAGTCTTATTGTGCATTGAAGTGGACTACTGTAAAAATGCAAACTTCTGAAAAGATTATTTCTTTAGTATAAATATCACTGTTAAAAAGCATTCTTGGAACTGAACGGAATAATTCCTTGTGGGATCACCGTGACTTGACTGAGCTGGTAAGATCCTGAGCAGCTACCCAGACGATGTAACTTTCCTGTTGGCCCATACTTCCCTGACTTGTATTGTCTTCTGTCCTGGACGGTGGAACGCAACCGCTGCGTTTATGCAGGAGGTCAGAGCGCGCTGTCGCACACGGTGGGCAGCTCTCCGTGCAGCTCAGGTTCCCCGTACGGGTTAATGGCTGAGACGGGCAGGAGAGATCCAGACCCACCATCAAACAGTTCCCCCATTGTGGCAACAGCCACGGAATTTGATTCGGGCTAAGATATGGTTAGCGCTTGCTGGGTGGGGGGGTTAGGCGATGGGGTGTGCTGGTACCCCTAGTGCTGCGGCTCAATGTAAAGACCTTCCGCCTCTCAGACTGGGTTTAAAAGGAATCCAGATCTAGAAAATCCACTTGTTTGCCATGGGGGGAAAAATAACCTTCTAATTACTGCAGCCCATCCAGGAATTTAATTCAATAAGCATTCACTCCACCTCTCAGCTGTTTTTCTGAGTCTGTAAGAGAAAGGATAAAGGATTTTTTCCCGTTTTCTCTGTAAACATGTTTTTAATACAGTTGCAAATGACTGTTTTATACATGCACTTCAATTCAATGCAAAGCAGTAAAGTTTCTGCAAAACAATACATTAAGTTTAGGTTTAAGCTGGTGTTAAAAATAAAAACAGTTAAAAGGTTGATATACTGACAATTCACATAAAAGTGATACTATATGAACTAGCTTAAAATTATTTAGAATATTAAAACTGTACAATTTTACATTCAATCAAATAATCTGGTAAAGCTTTGGTGTGATTAAATGTGTGCATATAAGTGAAAAAGTGTATATACATAAAGGTGATGGATTATAGAAGTTTTTCATGTTTTGTGTTTTCATTTTTCCATGTATGTTAATGAGTGCAGAAAGTTCTGTTTAGAGGTTAAGTGACTGAGAAGATTTGTATTGTTAAAATATCGGTGCAGCGGGGAGGTGGGGATGCTGAGCGCCTGCCTGTCATGGGCCCCCAGTGAGTCGAGGACAATCACACACGCATGCACACAAACAAATGCCAGCACATTATAGGCTGAATGCATTTCTTTTGCAGCACAGTCACGATGTCAGATATTAGATACCGAGTAAAGGAAGACTAATTGTATTTGCTTAAATTATTACATTTCCTAAAATTCTGTTCTAAGAAATGATGTATGTTCTGTCCTTTAACTTAGCATTTTGAGACAAGTGGTGGTGAAAATTTAAGTGTATGTGTTTGGAGTGTTTGTATAAAAAAAATATGTTCTAAATTTTATTTTCAAAAGTTAAATATTTTATAATTTTTTACATCAAAAGATATGATTAAGAAAAACCAAGAATGCATTTATGTGTAAGTATGGTAAAGTTTAAAATAAATATTCTATATATAAAATTACAAAAAGTCACTACTCTGGTTTTGTTCAAATATGCTGTAGCTAATGCAATTTGATGCAATTCTTTGACTGTCCACTAGACGGCAGTATTATACGTATGTGTTTATTTTTGTAGATCCACTGAGCTTTAAACTAAAAACTGAGAGGGGAGCTATTATGCAATGAAGACAATGCATTATACTTGTCTGCTTGTGCATTTTCCATGATCACAGGCAATATCACATGTAGATGTCAGTTAACAGATATAAAGCAGTGTTTTGTGGTTTGAGCATACAGCGATCCTCCGCTATATCGCAGTTCAGGTATCGAGCCCCCGCTATATCGTGGATTTTACCCCAACGCATCACAGTTCTCTGCGAGGTGTGTACATGTATACATATTCATTACATATAATTATTATTATTATGTTGCTCATATCCTTAGGCCGACATCCACATATCATATGTGTTTACAAAGTGTGTTTTAATAAGTTTACGTGTGTTTGAACCATATGGGAGGAGTATTTTAAGCCTTAAACTATGAATTTTTTTTAATTTATATAGTCTTTCTATATCGTGGATTTTCACCTAACGCTGATGGGTCTGTAATGTAACTTCCGCGATAGGCGGGGATCACTGTACTTTCTACAGTTCTATTTTGTAGATATGAATGTCATGTGCTAATTTTTACCAGTGGCACAATACTAATTGTCAGTCACATATAGCCATGGGCCGACATTATGTTTAAATGCAGCTGTGCATGCTTAGATAATTCTTGAACAGTCTAAAACCTGCAAGACATTTACCACAGAAAAGCACACTTGCAATGCAAGATGAAATTTTGAAGCCCAGTGAGGAATCCATCCAGAAATGTGCTATCCAGCGTGTCCATAGCTCTGGAGCTGGCAACAGTCTGAACATGACCTCAGCAAAGCAACCACAGAGTAAACGGGACACCAGAACCCGCAGCACACTGCCGGCTGAAGCGTCAGCCATGGAAACAAGGGAGATTAGTTTCTGAAAATTACATCAAGCACCAACCCATCATAAGTTCAGATCACATTAGTCAAACAAATGCCTTGTGTCAAATATTGAATTCCAAGGTTAAGACTAAACCAGTGCGAACATACAAATTCAGAGAATCTCCCGTATAATCAGGAAGATGAAGAAAAAGGAAGTCTCCACATTTTTCCAATTTAACTTAAAATCCAATAACTTGGAGCAAGTGTACGCTCCAAAGTCACTTCCCCCGCTAACAGTAATTCCGAACGCTGAAGGAAACATGATTGTCAGCATCTGTTTTCCCTTTGGCTCCTTTGGAAACGCGGCTCTACCCTTTGGCAGGCAGCGGTGACCGTGTAGCGGCACTCAGCCCACTGGCAGGCAGGGTGGGGGGGGCGGCAGATATACTTCACCACTGTGAGGTCTCTGCAACTTTAGACATTCGTGGGGGTATCGGGGAGCCATGGAGGATGTGGGCGGTCTGGGGATCAAGCTCATCTAGACGTGAAAGGGGCTGCTGGTCCCCCCCCCCCATTTTAGAAGACATGCACTTCACAGGTGCAGCTGAAGGGTTTCGGCCACAATAGTCAGGGAGCCTTGCTCCTCACATAAACCACGATGCGCTCTCGCATATGCGGCGGCTGGTTTTTAAGTGCTCAATACACACTTTTGTACTTTGTATTGAAAGCTGAGCTCAACGGCACGTAACACGAGGGATCACTGAGGGTTAGCATCGACAAAACCCAGGAAGCTCCACTCCAAACAAGGCTGTTTGTTTTCATGCATTCTTCCTCTGTGATCATTGACAGATGCCTCCTTGTTCCAGGTTGTTGGGCTCCACAAGGAAATGCATGCAGCGATGTAAATATTTTCCCCCTCACATATATTTTTGTCAGTGCACTGATACAAAGGGTAAACAATGGCTGAACTTGAATCGCAGGAAGCGTCTGCCGACGTATCCAAGCTCTGTGAGGGATTCTTTCTGCCGTGGAAAGAATCAGCAGTGCTGCAGCAGTCGCCCAAGCAGTTTTTGCCACGATGCAATGGGGCCAAACATGTCGGGATGCTTTGTTTACCCAGTGTGGTGCTAGTTTGTTTGTTGGACCGCTCACTCTCGCTTCGCCGCAGCCCTTTCGGCGGAGCCGTGTTTCCCATCAGCCGAGCGCCGAGGAGGGTGCGGGGTGTGAGTCCTAATGGAGACCTGCTGCGTCCCCCCCCCAACCAAAGTTTGCCGCAGGATGTCGGCGGAAACCCTCCAATAAAGAACCTATTGTTTCACAGTCCCAAAGAAAAAAAACTAAAGTTAAAGGAAGAATTCACCTGAATTAAATCCAGGAAAAAATAGTAGGCCTTCTTGAAAAGCACATTTCCGAGACCGTGTGGATCTACGCGGTTCAAAACTGCTGCGTAAACACAAAGAAAAATGGCAGAATACCCTGCTTGAGTCTGAACTCTGTTCCTTTACTTCCTACATGCATAAAAAACAGACATTAGCATATTTATAAACTTACGCCAGTCCCTATGATAGGCTGATTTCTATATTACTTATCCTAGGTTTTCAAGAATAATGCATATTAATATGCATTGACACAAACAAAATCAAATAACAAGAAGGATGTACCTTATTCGTTGGGAACAAATACATTACAAGGAGAGTTATCTGGGAAAATTAGGAAGGAGAGAAGTGGGAAAGGTTAATATATTCTTGTGGCGCATCCGACACACGGCGTCAGCGGTGTCACATTACATTACAGCCATCTGCTCTGAAAACATATTTTGTGTATTTTTGTTTTTTGTAATTCAGTGACAGTTTGTACGTGTGCCTACGCATGTGGATAGTTGTCCTACCAAACTGAATGTATAAAGTGCCAGCAGCAACCAGCCATACAGACCAGAGGGCTGCCAGAGACGGGGTTAGAATAGAAAGAGGGGAAATGGAGGGGGGGGGTAAATTTACCCATAAGGACCATCTGCCTCCCCACTGCTGACAGTGCCAAGATGTGCGGTCAACTGCTCTCCTACTCTGGAAGCGGAGAGCTCTTCTACCCTTCCTCTCCGCCTTGCATCACAATGCATTTCCGCCATTTTATTTTGGACATCCGGAGCCTCCGCTGCATCACATGACTGACATGCACCTCCGCTGGCGTGTGAGCCGGGTGGTCGCCATGGTAGCTGTGCTCGATTGTATGTCGCGGGATGTGTCACTTAGACTCCCAGATCAATAAAATACTTCACGTCATTAAAAACTTTACTAAAAGCAATAAATGGCTAGCTAATGAACGAAATGTCAGTTTGGTAAAGTTTAGTAGGTCCACCAACCTTCTATGCTATTGTTAGTTTCAAGCTGATAATATAAAAACAATTTTTTATGGGTCTACTGAATGAGAAGATAGAGGATTATTTTCACATGGTCTTACAATGTAATTGCTTAATGTCCATGAATGTTATTTAATGTAAACTGTGAAGTTGTAACTGATCCGATCTGCAGTTCTCTGGGTAAACAATACTGGGAATGCTCTGTATAAAATACGCTGGATTTAATTGAATTTCTTAAAGATGCTTGCACACAGTTAGAATGCAATACTTGTTGCGCCCTGGTGGTTGCTCTATAAAAGGTGTCCAGACCACAATGTGGTACGTTAAATGGCAAGAATTATCATCTTCCCCCTGAAAGAAGACAGAGCTCAGCTCACAGCACCCTGGTTGCTCTGAGATGTAGCCTCGGCCGTGGCGTCCATCCTGGCACATCAACACGAATCATGGGAGACTGTGTTGAGGGGCAGCTGTGACTTTCAGTGAGGAGTCCCACGTCAGCCGGCAGCAGACCCAACTGTGGTCTCCAGCCTTAATCCATCCACTTATCTGGGTTGCGTTTCGCCATTTTATGTTCAAGCGTAAACTTCAAACATGGTCCTTCATGTGTCAATATACAGTTCATCGAGCTCCATAATAATAAACAGTCACTTCTATATTAGCAAAACAAATAAAAGACTGGGTTTGTACCCCAGTAACTCAACAAAGCACAGTGCTGTCATGAGCAAATACTACAGATCGTTTTGTTCTTTTGACTGTGAGCCGTGAATACAGGTCTGCTTCACTGACCCTTTTCCTCATTTGACCTTGGTTTTTGGCACCTTCTATGGGTCGGAAACTCATGTGATTTAATTTCACCTTCTATTCAGCAGTTATAACCAGTCAGACCCAAGACTACATGTTTATGTCGGTGCATATTAACCTTTGGCTTGGAGTCCTTTTCAGAGATCTCATGGGACTTTGAGTTTCTGTTAGGATATAAATGGGGAAATGGCAGATGTAGGATATTGCTACAAAGGCTTTACACGTCTGAATGTCTCGGTTGGGAACTGGTTGACGGTGACTGACTGCTGATTTCTGAAAGTCTCGATCTACCTCATCTGGTGATTACTTAATTCCACTGCAAATGAAAGCCTTTTGTTGCGTTCTGTTCTTGGCCTTCAAGGCCAAAATGGAATATTATACCATAACAAAATTGAAAATACAGAATCATTATTTTTTTTGTACTGCCTTCAACATAAAATGTAGGCTGCAATGAGGGAAACTGTTTTCAGTGATGATTTTGTACTTCTAAATGCTACAACTTTGTCCACTGGTGAGAGAGGTGTGCTGGCAAGGTACCATTTCAAGCAGAGCTAAAAAAAAACACATTTTGGCTTCACAAAAGCGGAGAAACCTCAAGCCAATAACACCAAACTGGCAGCCTCCAGCTTCCTTTCCATACATGAGATTTTAGCAGGATTACGCTCAGGAAATGGGCCGACTGTTTCGAAGACTTATTTTATTTCTATTCTGTGCTAAGTAAACAGCAACACTGCTGGCAGCCAAGTGTTGGAAAAACGTGCCAAATCCCAGGAAAGCAACACAGTTTGAGTATGGAGCTGCATGAATAGTCGTACTTAGGGAACACACATGTGTAGCAAAGTCTTATTAAACAAATTGTCACACTATATACAGCTTAGCAGTCAATGGAGAAAAATTCTCCTGAATTCACCTACTGTAGATACTAAATATGTCTGAGTTTGATTTATGGGATGGACACCATGTGCTATGTGTATTTTTTGTGAGCCTTTAATTATATGTACTCCTAATAAATTAATGAAATAGCTATAATTCTGTTTTACTGGAAACTGTGGGGTCATGGATACCTGTCCTGGCGTGGGGGGGGGGGGGGGGGGGCAGGTGTGATGCATTGTGGTACTATGAGCCGCTCTTAAAGAGCTAAAGGTCTCCCACGTTACCGCTTTATGTAAACATGCAGTTTGTGCTTTTGGTCAGTGGCTGAAGCTTAAGTGAGCCAAGGTTGCAATACATCTGTTAGGAAAGGGTGCTTCTTCCATGGTACCGGCTTGTTACAGAAACCTTGTAGAGAAATGAGCGTTTCTATGAGTGTATAAGTGTTTTCAGACCGTATACTCAGCAGTAGTGTCTGCTTCAAGGTTGCAGTTTCCCTCAAAATTTTAGCTACGGATCTGCATGTGTACCTTAATGGAAAAATGAACACAGATATATTTGTTTTAAAGTTATGTATTCATCCACTCATCAATTCATCCACTTTATAAGCCTATAAAAAATATTTATATAAGAATTTACAATATAAGATCACATTTATTTTACAGAACAGGACAGAAATGAGGGAAAATGAACAAATCCTACATTGAAGGAATTTCTTGCTGATAGCACAGTGTTCCGAAATGAGGACAGTGACCGATTTTGTCTTGTGTTTTTTCCTCTAGGAATTCCTTCCTTTGAAGAAAAGAGTGATTTAAAACAGGAAAAACAGACAGGAAAGGTAGGAAACTGGATGAGGTGTAAGTCGGTATCCGCGGTAACGGAAATAATTAGGACACTAAATGGCTCCTTTAACGAACAGAGTCAATATTTGAATGTATGTGATTTTAAGAGGGGAGAGGATCTTAAATTTCTCTCCTCACACAATTGGCCCATTGTTGTGACTACGGATTAGTGACTGAAACCGAACTTCACAAAACCCCAGAGTCCCCAGGGTCGGTTACCTGAAAGATGCCATTTGTACATTTTTCGTAAGGGAAATCTCTCTCAGGGATATCTCCCATGGCTGCCCATTCTCGCAGACTTTGATCCGCTGATTTAAAATGATGGGGGACATTAAACAGATCAAATTATCCTACCTTTTAGGGTGACAGAATGAAAATGTGTATTCGAGGAGATTTAGAATAAGCTAAACAGATTTGTTTTTACAGCTAAAAACACCTTGATTTTGCCAATGTAAATAGGAAAAATATGTGCAATGTAAAGCTTGGCTTGTTGTCTGATAAATGTCCCATGAGCTTGAAAAAGTTTATTCATCCTATAGGCACTTAAAGGTTCAACAATGAGTGTCCTCAAACCCCGCGGCTCTAATTCTGCTCCAGAAAGAAAACTCACCTAAGTTCAGGCTGAGGCCAGGTGATGAATGGAGACGTTAATTGGGAAATAACATTATAGGTGAATGGCGAGGTGTGGATTTGGCAGCGGGCCTGGTCGACAAGACAACATGCTGAAAAGAAAAATGGCCTCAAGTGAGGGATAAACGGGGGGGTTACATGTAGGAGGCGGTGGGACAGGGACATGGAGGACGGGCGGAGATCTGAAGGTGAGATCGCCTCCTAAACTGACTCAGAGGGAAGCTAAGAGGTTATGGTTACTAAAGCAGAGAGTCTCTGGCATGCTGGGAGTGTGGCACACTGACAGTGTGTCCATGATACGCACTTTAAAGTGTCCAAACCAGCATGGTTTCCTCTGGGACACTGGTTGGCCAATAAATTATGTCATGTGGAGAGAAAGGTCCAGACCGAGATGGAAGGTGCTTAGTTGATTTATCCATTTTCACACTTTTCTTTTTAATCATGCTAATTAATTATGCATCTGTTTTCCATAACCACTTATCCTGTACAGGATCATGGGGGGGGGGGCTGGACGGGATGCACACGCGCACACACACCGACACACACACACACGCACATGTCAGGTAAACATATTTTTATGGGGACTGCTCATTCATTTATATGGGAAAAATACTAACTATGACCCCTTAACCCCCTTAACCCCCACCCTGCCCTAACCATAACCATAACCATAACCATAAGCAACCAAGCAAAATGCAAGAGTTTTTGCATTTTTAGTTTTTTCATTGCAGTCACAGATTTTTATTAAATTGAGTTTTCCCTTATGAGGACCTGGAAACTGGTCCCCATAAGGGAAAAAAGGGGGTATTCATCACGTCGTGGGGACATTGTGTCCCCATAAGGTAAAGTATACCTGCTCACAAACACATACACACACAGATATGCACACACACAAACACATACACACATATACACACAGACACACGCACACACAGACACACACAAAACCACAAGGAGCACATTAGAGACACCAGTTCACCAAACTGCATGTTTTTGGAAAGACACCCACAGAGACACTCGGGCCAGCAGAACTGGGGGCAGGAATGGAAGCCACGACTCTGGAGGTTTTGCCGTACTGTGCTGGGTACGGCTTTGTGTGTCAGCATTAAGCATCCTTAGCTCCTAAATTAAGAGGCCCTAAGAGAGTATGACACATAGAGCTGGGAATGGTCATCGGGTAGCATGAGGACCCCCTGAGAAGTGATAACTGTCATCTGGGCACCGTGTGTTGCAACAGCGCCACCTGCTGATGAGGACAGAGTGGCTGCACTGTGGTCCCTTTGCTGCAGCTTAGCATAATTAATCTGGTCGGCACACGATGAGGCTCAGCACCCCCGACCCATCTGCCTCCATGAATCCTGTCCTCCTGCTAACAGCCTTTGCGTGGACTCCGCTGTGCAGTGACCAGACATGCTGAGCCAGGCCTCCCAACCTGATCATTATAATTATCATATTATCATATGCTGAATGATTCACCCTGTCTCATCGTTACCATAATAATGACATTTACTCATTTGAATGAAGCATGTATCCTATTTCGGAACAAATGTGTGTAAAGGTGGGGTGGCGCCCCATCCTGGGTTGTTCCCTGCCTTGCGCCTGTAGCCTCCCGCAAAAGGCTTCAGACCCCCCCGCAACTCTGAATGGGACAAGCGGTTACGAAAAATAGATGGATGGATGGATGTGTGTAAAGGGACACATACTCCTGGGCTGCCAGCAGGATACTCGCATGTAAAGTAAGTGATGATTAAAACCATCCAACTGCATCAGTGACCTCACACATGCACAGAAGACCGTCATGGCAGCTGCCGGTGGACAGATGCCATTGTTCATGTAGGTTGGGTAACGTTTGCAAATGACTGCTTCGTTTGCTTTCTTGCTAGCCGCATGTCAGGAAGTCATGGGCTGTCTCTGTGTCCGACGGATCATGGCATGACTGAAGAAGAAACAGGCAGGAGGAACCTTCAAACACAGGCGCATGCAGAAGCCCTCCTGTCACTGGTAGCAGAATCAAAGCAACGGCTAGACATGCCAGGATCTCCATTCGTAGCCAACACGAAGGCTAGATTTCTCTGAAATTCACTTAGAGTGCGAATCAAACTGTAAAGTATACCAACATAAAAATCTTTATTGTGAATTTTACTGGAGAAACATTACAGATTTTTTTGGGTGGGAAAGCTGTGTAGAGACATATGTTCACCAAACCCCAGCAGATGTCCCTCTCAGAGCTCCAACGCGTGTAGCCTATTCAACCTGCGGCAAACGGGGGGGAATGCTCGATGTGTGTCCGCGGGTGTGCGTACGTGTGCATGTGGGTGCTAACACGCATCGTCTGGTCTGTAGGACAGAGACATTACCAGCAGGGACAACCAATTCATTGTCTTAGTGCCTTGTCCCATTCTTTGTAAAATCCATGAGCGAGACTGAAGGAGGAAGAGCCAGAGGAGAGGGGGGAAAAAACAAAAAGTGATGCCATCTGCAGCACGTTTTGCGCTTGGCATCCTGTCCTCGCACTCTTTCTTTCTAGCGAGCTGAGATTAACAGACATGCAGGGCAGCTTGGCGGCGTCGCAGGCCCAGAGCGGCAGCCTCCCGCGAGACGGAATTAGGAAGCCGCTGCATGTGGTGATACCGGTATCGCGCAACAGAACACCTTTCACGGCCCACACCCACGGGCCCGAGTGACTCCCAGAACTGCAAGACATGGGGAACAGGCAAGGGATGAGCAAGTCTGAACATCTGTGGGGGGGGGGGGCACAGACGGGTGCAGGAAAATACCCCCAAGCGAGATTCTTCCCTGGGTGCAGGACATATAGGAGCAGCAGCCTGAAAGATGGCTTGGCTCTGACCCAGCAGACCTGGGCATTGCCTCAGAGCCTGGATGTCTCCCCAGAGGCCCTCGAGTCCCATGACCCAGTGGTGACTGCTGGAATGGGCCAGACCTGGGAGACGAGGCCAGAGCATAATGACAGGCACCGTTGGCCCAAACCCTGGAAACGCAATCCTCTCGATTCCCATTTCTCGGCCAGGTCTTGGATCACCCTGTTAAAATATTAACCTGTGATGTCATGGGTCCGGATTAACTGTAACACTGGAACCTTCACCCTTGTGGGTCAGGGGGGTCATCAAAGTGATTGTGACCATGCATGGGTAGTGGAAGCAGGCTGCTGACAGCAGATTTTGTAGTAGTTGACCAACGTGAAGCAGGCAGGGGTTTTCATTGTTTAGAGAGGGAGAAGATTAGCAAGAATGATCACAAAAGCATTTACTGTACCATATGCAAAGTGGGATTTACTCTTTAACAAAGAGTAACAATAACCTTAAGGCTTCCATAAAATGCATTTTTTATTCTCAAATTGTTCTTTGGTGCCTACATAGAAGGTCTGTGAATTTGATTTGGTCAAATAATGTCCAGAAGTGGTTTTACAGGCCCATTTATATCCCTATAATTTGGCCCTCAAATGTTTTCCCTTATTTTGTGGGCTCCTTAATATATTCATGAGCTCTGCTCTGATTGGCTCATTTACAGTAAGGCACTTTACTGGCTCACACAGAACCAACATACACTGCCTGGCTAAAAAAAAATTCGCCATTTGAATTTATATCAGCAAATACTTAAGAGGCAATGACTGGATCATTATTACAGCTCAGCTACGTTATGCAGCAATAAAGTGAAGTCAGCTGAGTACCTGAATCTACTGAATGGCCAGGTTACCCCTCCATCCATCATCAATGGATTTTTTTCTTCCCTGTTGGCATGGGCATATTCCAGGACAAGGATGCCAATATTCATTGGGTTCGAATTGTCAAAGAGTGGTTCATGGAGCATGAGGAATCATTTTCACGCATGACTTGGTCACCACAGAGTTGTGACCTTAAGCTCATTGAAGGTCTTTGGGATGTGCTGAAGGAGGTTTTATGGAGGTTCAACTCACTTGTCAATACAGGATCTTGGTGAAAAATTAATGCAAATCTGGATGAAAATAAAGGGTGAGATGTTGCTTAATCCTGTGTAAACAATGCCATGACAAATGTGCGCCATAATCAAAGCTAAAGGCGGCCCAATGAAAAATTCAAATAGCGACTGTTTTTTTGGCCGGGCAGTGAAGATCATTACAGGTGAGGCGAAAAAATCCGTTTCACTTCCTTCTTTTATGTATCCAGGAATTATTTTTCAAAGACAGAACAACAGTTTTTGAGATCCATGATGCATCATTTCCATGTACTGAACACTTCTTTTCCAACTATGCCAAGTTAAAGTCATATTTTCATTCCAAAGCACCTCAAAAATGAAGGGGACTGAGAGGGATAGTTTTTCATTGCTGAAACATTAACTGCAAAACACGAACTCTCCTTCCTTCTTAATA